GGAATATTTTGAATATAAACGTCATATATTTTGCACAAAAGATAACATACTTACTCAGATTAAACATTTTATCTAAAAATTTTATGTCTAATGCAAAATATATGATGTTTATATTCAAAATGATCACCAAATTGTAAGAATTCCAGCAATGCAAATTATATTCTGGCCGGGTAATTTGTATGAATTTTATGAGCTAAAATAAAAATCTTCAGTTAATAATAGAAAAAAAATTCTTCACATGGTAACAGATGGTCGGTCGCCGGTCCCTCCCTCCCTCCCCCCCACCCCCCACCAACCGTCCCTACTAGATAAATGTGTGGGAATACCAGACTGTTTACCTTTTTAGTAATAAATAATAAATCAGACTAAAGTTAGGATAATATAATTGACATTGCTGGATTCCTTGTAAGACCAGGAATATTTTGAATATAAATATCATATATTTTGCACAAAAGATAACATATTTACTCAAGAGTAAACATTATATCTAAAATTTGTATGTCTAATGCAAAATCTATGATGTTTATATTCAAAATGATCATCAAATTGTATGAATTCCAGCAATGTAAATTATATTCTGGCCGGATAATTTGTATGAATTTTATGAGCTAAATTAAAAAAAATTATACTTCACCGTGTAAAGGGGTACATCCACCGCGGAATGTGAGCATCCTGGGTTCTGGCAGGGCACCGCGTAAACGTGGAAACGCGGAATGTGGGACCGCGTAAAGTGAGGGTTGACTGTACTATACTGTATACATACATATACACTCTTACTCCTAAATCACTACTGTAATGTGATACAGGTGATTAGTTTTTATCTCTTGTGCAAAATACATGACATTTATATTCAAATTATTAACTGTCTTACAAGGATTCCAGCAATGCTGGGCAGATGGGGGAGAGGGAGGGAGGGAGGGAGGGAGGGAGGGAGGGAGCGAGGGAGCGTGGGGGGGAGGGGAGCGGGTGGTGAGGTAGTACGTTTGACAGTTGGCACAGGCCCAGGTCTAACGCGTGTTTATTTATCAGTTCTTAAGTGACTAAGCTTCTCTCTTATAAAAAGCCAATGAAATGTCCTGGGTGAATATAATTTACATTGCTGGGATTCTTGTAAGATAGTGATTTATTTGAATATAAACTAGATATAATTTGTACTAGACATAACAATTTTAGTACGGAAATCAAATTAGTATATGTACACTCCAGCTTTGCACTAAGGTCTTTTATTCATTTTACGTTTCTTTTAATATGGTGTGTGCATGTAAATGGATGAAAATAAATGAAGAAATTTATGTAAATCCACCCAAAAATACAGTTGAGGGACAGAGGCAGCCAGCGAGGGGTGGGGGGTGTTTGAGGTGATATGTTTGACAGTTTGAGCCGAAGGTCTCTGTGTGTTTAACAGTCCTACTAAGCCTCTCTCATTTTAAAATGCCGGTGAAATGACCTGGGAGAATATAATTAACATTGCTGGAATTCTCACAAGACAGCGACCAATTTGAATATAAACAAGCTATAATTTGCATTAGACATACAAATTTTAGATCTAATTTAAGAATTTTATTACAGAGAGCAAAATTTTTTATCTCTTGTGCAAAATATATGACATTTATATTCAAATTACTCACTGTCTTGCAAGGACTCCAGCAATGCAAATTATAATCTCCTAACTTTAGTCTGAGATATTATATAAGATAAAAACTGTTAGCCTAAAACCCTGGCTGGACAGATGGGGGAGAGGGAGGTAGGGAGGGAGGGGGGAGCGTGCGTGCGTGGGGGGAGCGGGAAGTGAGGTGTACTTTGACAGTTAGCGCGAAGGTCTAGTGAAGTATTTATTTTTTTATTTATGTTTAAATCAGTTTTTGTTTTTTGCTCCTAAAATTTCATAGAAGTGACCTGGGAGAATATAATATCCATTGTTAGAATCCCCATAAGACAGCGATTAATTTGAATTTAAACAAGCTATAATTTGCATTAGACATACAAATTTTAGATCTAATTTAAGAATTTTATTAGAGAGAGCAAAATTTTTATCTTTTGTGCAAAATATATGACGTTTATATTCAAATAATCTGCTGTATTGCAAGGATTCCAGCAATGCAAATTATATTCACCCAACTTTAGTCTGTGATTTTATATAAGATACAAACTTAAAGCCTATTGTATAACCAGAAACCTTCCCTGAGGGGGGGGGTGGGGGTGACAGTGACATGTTTGACAGTTGGCGCCTGTGGTGTGAAGTATTTATTTGTTAATTTATGGCCTTTAGGTCGAGTTTTTGTTTTTTGCTTATAAAATTTTATGGAAGTGACCGGGGTGAGGGAGGTGTCGGTGGTGCTGTGAGGGAAGTGTTAGTGGTGATGTGAGAGAGGTGTTGGTGGTGGTTTGAGGGAGGTGTTGGTGGTGCTGTGAGGGAAGTGTTAGTGGTGATGTGAGGGAGGTGTTGGTGGTGCTGTGAAGTAGGTGTTGGTGGTGCTGTGAGGGAAGTGTTAGTGGTGATGTGAGGGAGGTGTTGGTGGTGGTTTGAGGGAGGTGTTGGTGGTGGTTTGAGGATGGTGTGAGTTTTGGTGTGAGGGAGGTGTCGGTGGTGGTGCGAAGGAGGTGCTGGTCTGAGGGAGGTCCATTTCTTACACACATGTTTTACTTTACTTTTTTACTTTTATCCTCTTTGCTACTGATCGGCTTGTTAGCCGCTTGGGCGATCGGTTGACGTCTCTGATTACTTTTCCTTTTTATTTATCTTCTTCACCAAAAGATCGGCTTGCTAGCCGCCCAGGCGATCGGTCACGTCTCTGTCACGCACTATTGGCAAATACTGGGCATGCACCGGCTCCTGAATGTACCTGAACCCGCTCCAGCGTTGGTCAAGTCTTGTCTTGAAAGAGCTCACACTCGGTGCCGTCACAACACTCTGGTAGATTGTTCCAAGAGTTTACAACCCTCACTCCGAAAAAGTTTGCCCTCACAGTTTTCTGGACTTGCAGCTTCTTCAATCTTGAGCTGTGACCCCTTGTGGGTAACCAAGAAGAAAAAATGCCTGGACTCAAGCTCACCAGATGGCCAAGAGGCAGCGTTCAGATAGATGGCACCTCGGCTGACAAATGAAGCGAGTGATGCGTTCCATATACCAACTTGGCAGGATGGCAAATATCATTAATGCGAGTTTGTTTACATTACAAACCGAAAAGTGGTTTTAATATATCATCTTTGTTCACACAAATTATCATGGATGAGTGGGATATCGTGAATACTTTAGAGGTTTACCTGTAATTGAAAATAATTTTTTGTATAAATTTATTGTTTTTGTCTATTTATAAATGATTTTAGTTATTTAGACATTATTTAATCATTATAGCAGCAGTACATAAAACTTGCATGGGATCTTCATGGTCTCGGGAATGGAACCTATTTTTCCCCGTAAGTTATTAATATCAATACAGTATATGAATAATCACTTAGCAATGGCTTTTTGAGCTCCCTAACCCCATTGCATAACAGTCATTGCCTGCATATTCATTGAATTATATACTTCGTTTACAAGTCTCAGAAGTCATTCCTTCCCTTCAGTAACAACAAATCTACGACACTGCCAGTCGTGTAGTGTATGTACTGTTAGGCACTCTGGCTCTTGGTCATGTGGATTGTACATACTCTGTATGTACAGTACAGTATTCCAGACAGACTCACTGAACATCAGATGCAGGTCTAAATTTAAGAGACTGATGTACAGTAAATCCTCGATAACTCGGCATTTGATAACTCGGAATTTCATATAACTCAGCACGGATATGGTCTTGGAATATATTTGTATAACTCGAGAAATGCCAAGATATATAAATCTATTTGGGAAAATCTCGGCATATCTGGCCACCTGCATCACCTACCATGCCTCTGTCACCTACTATGATGCTTCATTCTTCACCTGCATTGCTGGTAAGTGTTACTTCTTTACATTTAGTAATTACATGTACAGTACAATGAAAGACAAACGTCGTGTCATGAAATTTGGAGAAAACCTATGCCGAAGGGCTAAACTTTTGGTGCGCTCTGCCTTGTGGTAGGGGGCTCTCATAATGTTTAACGAGTTATATTTATTCTTCGGACAAAACCGAGACACGACTTTTATCTTTGATTGTACACATATATGGGTTGATAATTTTTTAATGTTGTACTTTTGTAGGAGCGGGGAAGTGCCTCGACAAGTTGAAATTTGGGGTAACTCGATAAGGCCAGAGCCGAGTTATTGAGGGTTTAGTGTTTTGATAATCCCGTGTAGGATCTGGCTCAAGATTTGGGGGATCTCAACTATCTGGGGTTTTAATGTACAGTATTAGAAATAAATTTATTTTTCAGATTAGATGTTAATATTTTAATGGTACAGTCTCACTCAAAAGTTCGTTAACTCTCCTCGCTAGCTTTTGCTGCACTGTCTGCTTCAGATGTATGAACTTGAGTCTGTTACTTCGAATCTTTAGATTTATTCATATTGGTTTCATGTTCTGGTTGGTGCCTGCACCTCAGCTACCCTGAGAGATTGGAGCGCCTGAACTTGCCTAGCTTATACTACAGACGGGAAAGGGGGGACCTAATTGAGGTGTATAAGCATCTCAAGGGGCACTACTCAGTCGAGTGTCCTTACTTGGAGCTGGCGGACGCTTACCCCACAAGGGGTCACAGCTCAAGATTGAAGAAGCTGCAAGTCCAGAAAATTGTGAGGGCAAACTTTTTCGGAGTGAGAGTTGTGAACTCTTTGAACAATCTACCAGAAGGTGTTGTGACGGCACCGAGTGTGAGCTCTTTCAAGACAAGGCAAGACAAGACAAGACAAGACAAGACTTGACCAACACTGGAGCAGGTTCAGGTACATTCAGGAGCCGGTGCATACCCAGTATTTGCCAACAGTGCATAACAGAGATGTGACCGATCGCCCAAGCGGCTAATGAGCCGATCATTTGGTGAAGAGGATAAAAGAGACCGTTTCAAACATCTGAAGCAGGCAGTGTAGCAATAGCAGGCTGGGAGAGTTAACAAACTTTTGAGTGAGACTGTACAGGTGTAAATCATAGTGTAAACTAAATCTCTCCATTAAAGTGAAGAAAAAACTTTGTTGCAGAAGTTAATACAGTAGTAAGTATTAAATCATTTCCACCACCATTGTCAGTTTATTAGCCATTTGGGCAACTGGCCTGTATTTTGTTTTGTTACTACCTTCCTTGTTCAGTGTTAGTACAGGGGGACCATAGTATCTGGCGAAAACCTTATTTATTTGGTAGGGTGGTCATAATGGATAACACCATTCTCCAATCTGACCTGGCCCGGGAATTGAAACTGGGACACATTTGTGAGAGGCACTGTACCACATGTTATTGAGCAAAGGAATAACTTTGATGATTAAGTATTTTCTTGACAAAATAAACTAAAACAACGTGTTACATTACCTTCATCATGCGGTGTTCATACTCCTCCTCTGAATCACTATACAGGACATCCTCACCATCATCCAACTTATTCTGTGAGGGAAACCCATTAGATACTGTGGTAGCTAAGGTTATTATTAGACCTCTGCCTAGCACTGTCTTATTGTCAGTAAATTATTACTCATGCACTCCACTTATTCTTTTTGTAGGAATATACAGTAAGTCTTATGATTATGAAGTAAAGTAAGATGAATACAGTCAGTTCTGCTATAACGCGATAGTTGTGTTCTTGTAAAACATCGTGTTATAGAAATTCGCGTAATAGAAATAACAGGGCTTATCGAGAAAATAGGGTTAGGTGCAGATTACTACTCGAAATAAAAAAAAAATTAGTAGTTAGCCTAACACAAAGGATAGCACAGTCTAAATAAATGTTACATTCACATCTAATAATGAAATCTTACAGTAAATGTAACACTTTACCTTGAAAAAATATGAATATAACTTGATGGGGGAGAAGGGTGATTTTGAGGTTGATACCATCGAGCTTCTCTTCAAGGGTTATAGCTTTTCTTTTACGATCATCACTGGGAATGCGATCATCAGAACGCTTCTTGGAGATATTCTTCTTTACCATATTCACAGTTAATACCACGAAATTGGAGAAATAGTAAGCAAAAATCGCGTTACAGCAAACAAGCATTCGCGTTATACAAATATCGTTCCTCTATTCATAAATCGCATTAGAGCCAATTCGCGTTGTCAAAACACGCGCGTTATAGCAGAACTCACTGTAGGTTCAAATAGCATTAAAAATATAGATTTTTTCTTCATATATTTAGTTGGTGAAAAGCATGAGAGAGATGTTGATATTCTTGTAAACTAAAAGTTGAACAATAATGTAAAGGGATGTTGGGCAGTGTCAGAAAGTTTTCTTAGTCAAGTTTAATGCTAAACTCATGGACTTGGCAATAATACAGGTTTATGCACCAACAAATGATATTGAGGTCGAAGTCTTAAGAAATATTTAAGAAGTTTTAAAGAGAGCAATGCCACTTAAAAGTTTAATGAATGTCTGATTATAATGGTTGATTTTAATGCAGAAGTTGGGAAAGGGAAAGGAACACCATAAGTACAACCACATGGGTTGGGTAAAAGAAATGAAAGAGGAGAAATTTTAATTGAATTTTGTAAGGAAAATAACATGATAATTTGCAAATACATGGTTTGAACAACACCCTAGGCATCTCTATACATGGATCTCACCCCAGAATAATGTAAATAGCATTGTCAGGAATCAAATACAGTATTACCCCGCTTTACGCGGTTTCACTTAACGCGATTTCTCATATACGCTGTGCCTCGCCAAAACCGAACTTTCACTTAACGCGGTTCATCTACTCATATACGCGGAGAGCGGCGTGAGACGATGCGCACAAGGTCGCCCAGTCATCAAACATTACCGAAGTTTTCACCCGCCACCCACCACAGCCGCCCAAGTCAGTGATAGTGACAATTATAGTGAGGATATGGACTTATATGGACTTTGAGGGTTTGACAAAGAGGCCCTGCAAGCCTGTGGTGGTGGATAGTGATATATGATACAGGTGAGGGCCAATAATCTGCCCTCTGCCTGAACCAGCCCCCATCCCCGTGGGTGCCCAGCCATCTTTTCTACTAATGTAAGTGTTAAAAACCTAATATTATTGATATTTCTCTTAATTATTAATTGTGTGTGCATACCATCATAGTTAAGATAATATTTTTACTACAACATAGTTGTGTGTCATCAAAAAGTGGAGTTTGGGGGTCGGGCCAGTCTCTATTGGAATTAATCCCATATGTTCTGTTGTTCACTTAACGCGGTTTTCACTTAACGCTGTACCCTGTGGGTTCAATTGACCGCGTTAAGTGGAAGTACAACTGTACACTACATTTTAATTTATAAACAAATCAGAAATTCAGTAACCCAAGTCAAGACCTATCCAGGGGCAGATTGTGGGTCTGACCATGTCCCAATAAATGACTTTAGTGTGGCTGAAAGTTAAAAATTCTAAAGAAAAGCACTGAACAATATCAAATGAGATTTAGGAAGCTGAAAACAGTGGCGGGGATGGAATTGAAATTGAAAACAGATTTTCAGTACATGTTGGACCTCGCTAATCCGGGAAACTTTGGATCAGACCAGTTCCGGATTAGTAAAATCCAACCATCGAAGCCAAGGTTATAAAAGGCAAAATAATGCATATAATGTGTTATTACTGTCTACCATTATAGACATCTTTTCTAAAATAGTTAATGTCAAATGCTTACCGTTTGCTGCATTACAACCACTTCCACTCCTTGCTTGTCTCTTAAGAGCCATATTTAGGGGTAATTTATAACTAGTTAAATGTAAAATAGTGGCAACAGCCACTAGAAGTTAGCTATGTGACCGGCCTGAGTATCGAAGCTGCCGTACTATTGGGTCCAGGATTAGTGGAGTCCAAACTGTACATTATTCCTAAAGGCAGACTTTGATGAACAAGAACCGGGACAACAGTACTGTACAGGTAAACCGTTATTTATGATATCCCAATGTGAGATAATTCATGTTAAGGATGCTGATATATTAAGACCACTTCCCTATTTGCAATGTAAACAAACTCGCATTAACAATATTCATCATCCCGCCAAGTTGGCATATGGAATGGAATTCTCACTTCATTTGTCAGCTGAGGTGTCTTCTATCTGAATACTGCCTCATGGCCATCTGGTGAACTACAGTCCAAGCATTGTTTCCTTTTGGTTACATGTGTGTAAGAAATGAAGCTTAATGTATGTCTTTTTTTTTTTTACACCTAACAGCAGGGCCATTACTTGACCTTCAGGACATTGGGGGCTTTAGCCCAGAGTTCTATAGAACCATGGCGCGCCGAAGGCGCGAGTTTTGTGGGGACTGGAGACATGCTCCCCCGTGTAAGTTTTTGAATTTAGACTGTCTGTGACAGCATTTCCTGCCATGTGAAGGCAGTTAAAAAAAACCAAAAGGTCTAAAATACAGCAATTCTTGGGATGTGTACAGTATAATGGAAGTAGTAGATAACGTGTGTCAAGTTTGTGTAACTTGTGTATATGGTGATCAGTGCTTGTGGATTGTTATTGTTCTGTTGGAGTGCCTGTGTGTGTGCAGTCGACCCTCGTTAATTCGGACCCCTTTAATCCGGTTGGATAATTTGGAAATTTTTTTTTTTTTTTTTTAAGATTTGTAGGAATATTACTCAGCGGACCTTAAGCTAAATGCTGGTCCACCCACTGCTGGGATAAAACATGTAACACCTCCACCACTAGTGTGGGGGGATCTACTTTAGCTTCAGACATGAAAAATATTTACCATTTACTGCCAGTAAACAATGGAAGCGTAAAATAAGTACCAATTAGTAATGAAAAGTTGTGCAGTTCCTTCAGCAAATGAAGCTCACCAACTTACAATAGGCTAAATTACCTTACAACGTGTTTTCAGTAGTCTATGTTGAGGTTCTTACAGGCTAACTTATCATATCATATATTATATCACTTCTCATTGATCTACAAATACATTAATAAAACCTTTTCGATATTTCACACTTAATATAATACCCGGTAATCTACTTCAACCTCCTATTGTTTACTGGCAGCATGGCCTTACCACCAGCTGTTGAGTATCAGCTAGAGCGGCTCGTTTTTTGAATCGTTTCAGTTAAAAATGTTACATCACATGTATATTTTATAACTGTGCCTGAATGAATATATTCTCGAAATAAATAGTAGTTTTGCTGAAACGTGATGTTTTTAATGTAAAATAGGATAAAATACATAGCGAAAACAAAAGATTTACCTAACCTTCCGATGTTCAAGAGATGTTAATCATTTTTTTAAGTTTTGGTTAAAATACTGTTATATTGCAATGATATTCTACTCATACTGTGCTTGATATACTACATTCACGGAAATGTAATATTTTTGCTGAAATAGTGCATTACAGTGGAAAGTGGGATAATCATTAACCAAAAACAATGACTGCCTTTCTTTGTTCAAAAGATGTTACCGTAATAGCTTTTGAATGGTATTCAGTTAAAACTGTTGCATCACAAGTGAACTAGGATAGAATATTATTGTAATACAACAGTTTTTAACTGAAAACCATTGGCGATTACGGTAACAACGAAATCACTTTCCACTGTAATCGTGGGTCATTTCAACAAGAAATAAATAGTAGTTTTGCTGGCGTAATGTATTTCAATGTAAATTAGGATAAACTACATGAAAACAAGACTTTACAAATTCCGATGTTCAAGATATGTTACCCGTTATATTAGTGATATTCTATTCATACTGTGCTTGATATAATACATTCACGGAAATGTAATATTTTGCAACTACTATGCTGATGTCAACACAGCGGCGTTTAAGCGAGACTGACTGAGTGAGAACGCGTGTTGTGTGTGAGATAGCGGGAGGCGGCGGTGTGCAGTGTTCGGTGCCTTGGCAGTGAATGTCCTTCAATTACTTCAATGTACAGAATATTCCTCCGGCGGGGCAATCCGCGTATTTGCGAATCCGTGAATGCTAAACCCGCGTATGTGAAGGGCCGACTGTATCGTAATATTAGGCTTTCTCTGGTTGACGCTAATCCATCTCTGCATCACTGAAATTATGTTTAAGTGCTGATAATAAAGGTAGTGGTGATGATGGGGGAGGCGGTAGTGGTGGTGAGGGAGACTGTGGTAAGTGGTGAAGAGATGATGCATATATCACTTTTTTTGGTAAAACTGTGCTTGCAATACTGCCAGACGCTATTGAACAGTTGATATCTACCCAAAAAATTGAGTGTAAGTATAAATGAGTAACGTTGTATCCCTTCAACATTAAACATTCATTTCACCAGGGTGGCCATGATGATTTTGAGTTCATTGCCCAATTTCTGTTGCTCAACAATCAAAAGCCCAAACGTCAAGACGATTTATTTCTAAGATATGGACCCGATACAAACTAGACAAAACTTTAATTAATCTATGACCTCACCTGTTCTTCCTGAAATTCATCTGCATCCCAGTTGTAGCAGCTGTGGGTTTAGTTGTCCTAAGCCAAATGTCTTCCTTGTGACAAGTTTGTAAAGCTCGAGGATGTCGAGCATTGGATAAAAATCTTCTGCAGTCCTCATGCGATACATAGTGTGCATCAAGTAGATAGGAATATTGTCCTTTATGTTCCTCACCCGTGCCTGAAGTGAGAATCACATGGCTTATCAGTATTCAGTTGGGATAAAAGAAGACATAATAACTTGCAAAAATGGCATTACTTCCAAAAGAGGACATGACTTGTAGATCTACAGTATATATTTGTATGAAACAAAGTCTTAACCTGTATCTGTCGCATGTAGCGTTCTTAGTATAGTTTCCATCATGTTGCATTTATCAATGAAGTAATGTGGTAGCTTCTCAGTGGAGAGACAGTTGTATAGTGTTTTAAAGTATGCCTTGTACTTGTTACCCAATCTCTCTTCTTGCCAATCTCGGAAGTTATGTTCACATCAGAAGAGTATGTAGCGTAGGTGTTGAGTTTTAAGACCTGGGATGTCCTCCAGATGATCCCTCATAAGGAGCTCGACAAGAAGTAGTAATCTAATCTGTAAAATATAATGAAGTTTTATGCAGTTTGTCCTGAACTACAACAGAATGTTTCCATTCATTCTTTTTTCAGTTATAGTTTAAGGTAAAGAGGAAGTGAGGCGTATCTATAAAGACTATGATTTTAATTATGGAAAGGATCAAGATATAAAGACATAAAACTAGGATAGTATATACAGTGGTATACCTTCCATAAGAATCTTCATTTTGGTTAACAAACAAAAATTCGGTTAACAAAATTCTTACGAAGATGTTTCGACATGCTTTGGCTTGCTCACCAGCTGGAAGATTAGTCCGCCAATACAGAAATCGGTTCTAGGGCTTACGTTCGTTAAAATTGGAGTAAATATTAAGAAGGTTGTACTATTCAATAATTTTCAAAGTTTTATATTAATTTTTTTTTAGTCATTTTAACACTTATTTAACATAATTGTAGTACGAACTAGTTTTTGTGGTGCATCAGCCACTTCACTCACCACCAAGGCCTCAGTTTGTATCTCTGTTCAGTGGAGGAAACATCTTGCTTGTGGGTCTCTTGAACCAGAGTATTTTTACGTTTTGTACAATTATGGTCATTCTGAAATTTATTGAACATATTGACAATATATAGTGCAGCGCAGTGTTGATTTAAAGATTAATCTTGAATTCACCTAGTGAACTAAAAATTTTATGGGTGAAATGATGGCATCAAGCATGGGGTGATTTTCTCTTTTCACTTCCTTCTCTTCTCCTTCTCCTCCACCCCACTTCTAATTCCCATCATCATCAACAGGGCCTTCTACATACACAACTCAAAGTAAGTGTACTACTGCATTTTTTATACTTTGTATGTAATTTTCGGTGACTGAACTAATTACCCAAAATCATTGAAACAATGGTTTGATTAACAAGTTATGGTGAACAAACGACCTTCTGGAGCAATTGTGTTAGATTAACTGAGGACCACTGTATCTGTACTGTATCATTATACCTTGGAGTTGCAATAATTTATGAAATACAAATTCATACTTAAATTTGCAGGTACTAGTAAAAAAGCAAACGCTTAGATTATGTGCAAATCAATATGACACCACGGACGAGGGATAGTGGAATATGTGTGTTTTGGTCCTGTATTATGGTGGTAACCCTGCTGTCCTCCGCCTGAGGGTATCCTCACATATCTGTTCCTAACGACATATCCTGTCGTATATATAGTTGATGGTATAACTGAACATGAACACATACAGGCACACATACCAACCCTCCCGGCACATCAGGTGATGTATGGATCGTTCAGGAAGTCAGCAGACCTCCCCCCCCCGACACTTTTTTTTTTCAATGTTTACCTCTATTAATATCTTTTTTTTTTTTTTTGAGGTTAAATATTTATAATTCACTGCCAAGTGCCACCTGCCACAACATTTATTTACATAAAAAATCATATAAGTTGTGGAAAAATCATGTCATTACTCTAACTTGATTTAGAAACAAAAAAATACAATATACTGTACAGTAAAGCCTCGAATAACGGTGGTAATGTGTCCTCCAATATTGCAGTGTAAGGTGAATCATGGTACTGTATCCTGAATCATTAATTACCACTAAAATAAAGCAATAATAATGAGATGCGTTCCCAAGTGTGACCTTTTCATATCTTTTGTGTGGCTTTTTACCCTCTTTTCCCCCAAAACAATAAAATCAATGAAAAATACAAACTATATTCCTTAAATGTTTATGAATGCACCCTATACAATATAAATGTAGCCGTTTTTTTATAAAAACCAGTTTTTGTGATATAGCTCGAATCGGGTCAGCAAATGCTACCTAGGTATCTTAATTCCTATGTTTTACGTAATGTTATTTAATGTTAATAAATGGAACAATAGAAGTGGCTAACCACTAATGGCAAAGAAAAAAGTGAGATGGATTAGAATGCCAAAATATACGTGCGCATTTAAGGAAACGGCGTCATTTATCTTAAGAATATGTACAAAAGATTCATTATTGTTTATTACTGAATATGTATTGGATTGAATTAATCTATATATATGCGAAATGGACAATACGATTCATTAATGATACGTAGAATATTAAAAAACACAAGAGGATAAGAGACGGCATTGTTGTCAATGTTTACACCCATAATGTCAGTTATCCACCTGAAACTGAAGAAAATAAGATACTGGTTGTTGTGGTAGTAAAATTAGTATAAAAAACATGTATGTTTCAATTAATGTTATTTTATGTACAGTAGAAGTAACCACTGATATTAAAGAAAAAAAGTGAGACTGATAGTGGAACGCCAATGTATACGTGCTCTCTCAAGGAAACATAGTCATTTATCTTAAGAATATGTACAAAAGATTCATTATTGTTTATTACTGAATATGTATTTGATTGAATTAATGTTTATATATGTGAAATAATACGTAGAATATTCAAACATGCAAGAGTAGACAAGACGGCATTGTTTTCGTGAGTGACGATGGTTTTACATAAGAAACTGAACTATATAAAAAAAAAGGTTTTTAGAAAAAACAAATGTCTTTTTGCTCAAGCTCTGAATGCGACGTCAGCATATGTTACCTAGGTATGTTAATTCCTAGCCAATTCGCCAGGCCAACATACAGTACAGGCAATTAAAACATCTAATAATTACTTAAGAAGTAATATTAGGAGGACACGTCGCTACCTGGCATTTAATTGCAATTCTCAAACCCCCTCCTTCACCCTCCATCATACGCATCACGACCCTTCATCTCTTGCCTGGCGATTCAGCTATAAATGTACACAAAGGAAAGCTCCATGAATTTGTGTTCTAATTGCTGAAATACTCACCCCCGCGAGGATTGTATATACTGTACAGTATTTGTACTTAATAGCACAGTGATGAAGTAGAGTGACTTTTATTTTGTTATGTCTCTCATTTATTGTATTTGGGGCATTTTCTTATACGACCTTTGGTCAGCATGGCGACCAAAACACATTTTCTTTGTGAAGTCGTTTAGATCATTGTGACTATCCCTTGCCTTTAAGTCACTCAGTGAATGTTGCTGCGCCCTCCCGGGCTCGTCTTCACTGAAAGAGAATATGTGAATATATCTAATTACACAGACAGACCCCGACTTACGACGGCTTCGACTTAGGACCGTCGGGACTTACGACCGCCTCAGATTTTTTTTTTTCTTCAAATGACACGCATTTTCTATACCGAAACGTTTCCAGTTAATGTAGCCTCCATGTATAATTAGAAAATTATGGGGGCCCCATGTGCATTCAGCTGACTACATTAAAGGTAAGTGCTCAGTCACACTGTAACCATTCCTTATTATTTATTACTTTCACTGTACTGTATCCATTCCTCATTATTCATTACTTTTACTGTACTGTATTTCATTGTAGATTATTTATTTATTTATTTATTTATTTTTTTTTTTTTTTATTTATTTATTATTTTTTTTTTATCTATGTCGGACTTACGACCTGGATTTGGGTCCCTAACCCCGTCGTAAGTCGGGGTCTATCTATATACATATATATGTATATTGTTTACAATCTTCTTTGTCCTAATTATTCACGTTCTAGTATGAATACCATGACTGTCTCTCTCCTTACTCTTATGTTCGTTCACAAAAACCCTTGGGCTTCCGCCCTTGGGTTTCTATTTGTTCTCAGCAAAAAGGCCGGAGTTGAGTTTGTCTCTTCATAACTTTATTTTTTTATGTCCTCAGTAGCGGGTTCAGCCTTTCCAGGCGAACTTTAGCGAGGCTGCTAGACTTAGCGTTTCTTCCGGAATGTTGACCTTCCGGTCTTCCTAGCAATCTAGAGTTATGTTGAAATGGACTTTGCACCTTCTATGGGTTATATGAGAACAATTCAGGGTGGAATTCTCAACCCAATAAATATTGCTAGAGTAAGAGTGAACGTTGCTGCCAATAGAGCGCTATGTTAGCGTCTCAGCACTGTCAACCCTGCCGGGTGATAGTGCACACGGAGGAATTTTCCCTTAAGTGTTTACTTGGGGGATAATGTCTGTGCCCCTGATTGGCAACAAATAAAGATCTTGATCCCTCTAAATGAAATGTTATCAATGAAATTATTTTATAAAAAAGCAAAAATGAATAAATAAGTTTCATTGAGCTAAGGGATACTTGATATAAGAGTCGGGAGGGAGATACGACTTAGTGAGTTATTTGTTTATATTTGTCATATGAGTGACTTGTATAACAATAAGAGATCTTAATGAATTAACTTATGAATAATATAACATTATGAGTCATATTGATTAAGTTTGGGAGGAAATGCTTTCTCCCTTATTATTATTATTATTTTGTTTTATAATGATATAATGTGACTCATGGTGGTCTCCTAGTTTAGATGAGTGATGTGCAACTGGAGGATAAAGGTCAGTAGTCCGGGCCTATGGATGATGGAGGAGACTATGGAACTGTCCCTGAGGAGATAGTATTGAGTGCTGAGCTACAAGGACTAGGAAGTTCAGCTCAGGCACTACATTCAAGGAATTGTCTGTCAGTAGAGAATTTGAATTCAGTAGTAGTAGTTTCACCCAAGACCCAAGGGGGCCATACTACATGTAATTATAAAGCATGTAAAGCGACTTGGATTACTAAGATAGATCCTCATGTGGCTTGCATAATTCATGGCAGCTGTGTCTCAAATAACTTATTTTCACCAATGGATTGTGCAGTTTGTTATGATCAAATTTTTCAATTTCATTAAGCTACAGGTGATAAGAAAGATTTATTGCAATTACAAATTAAAAATAGGTGGAATAAGGCCTTGAAGAGTAAATTTTTGAATGTACAACAATGGAAAGATCCCAAGTTGGCAGAAAGTTTAGGTTTATTGGTGTTAGGTAAGAGACTTAATCCCCACTTAGACAAGACTGCTTCTGCAAAGAAAAGTACGTTATTGGATCCTCCAGACAGTGGGGCAGTAGGAAGTCCACAGAAACCTCTATCTACTCAATCTGAATTCAGTGGATTCCAGGATCAGGACGATGAGCCTGGTTCTAATCATAGTATTCAGTCTCTTGAGCAGGAA